CCTCCATTTAAGCTCTGCCGCCTCCTCCTCCCATCACCAGGTGTTCATGAGAAGTAATTCGGTACCTGTAGGTAATGTTCAGCCATACGAGACATTTGCACCAGTCGGCTGTATCTACCTTGCCTGTGAGTGGTGGTGGTCCTCTCGTCAAGGGTGTTGGGTTGTGTGTGTGTTGGTTCACGTGAGGGGCAGGGTGAAACTATGGGCAAGTTTCTTTACACCATTTGCCTCTGTCTGCCCAGCAGTAATTGGGGACCTGGATGTTAATCGTTTTGCGGATCGTATTCCGGGGTAATTGTTAGCCAGTGCAGTTGGCGAGTTGTCCGGTCTGCTCGGACTATTCCTTAACACTGGGTCATGCAGCTCGTTAATTCAGGGTGTGGTGGTTGTGTTGGCGACAGCTTCTACACCTTAAACAAATTCACGCCTAGGTGGCCCTTGAGCCCGCCATCCACATTACACGAGGAGCAACCATTATTATTAGCATTACGTGAAGGGGGGGGGGGTCGGAGGAGGATCCTTCATGTTTACTTTATTTTTGACGTTTTGTTTCGTGTACTCGGTGTCTTGGTGAATTACCAGTGATGGTATAGCATACACACACACACACACACACACACACACACACACACACTACTATTACTTTGCTGTCACTAGGAATCGAGTATGATGATCATCCAGCTATGATACAATGATATAAGTCATTAAGGATGTCACCTTCGTTGGTGAGTTTTAAGGTTACTGAAAAGGCCGATACGGGGCTGGTAGAGTTGTTCGCAGAAGTTGCCCGTGTGGAGGGCTACATCTAGTGCGGGACGGGCGGCGGCAGCGTCTTTCCGGCGCTGGCGCTTGTCTGCCTCGGTGTGGAGTAATCGTCTCCCAGGTGAGGGGGTCGATTTGGCACTTTTTCAGGTTTGTCTTAAGACTATCCTTATACCTTTTCAGTTGCCCGCCACCGTTACGATTACTATTCGTTAGGTGACTGTAAAGTAACTGCTTTGGTAGTCTACTGTCATCACACACACACACACACACACACACACATACACCAGTATCAGTTACGGTCTGTAGTCTAAATAAAACAACTCAGTTTATTGGGCGCCCCTTTGCATCGTCTTACAAGGATACTGTATATTAGTGCCCCGAGTCCTCTGTGTTGGCACCCTGGCACCTGATACTTGTGTTATCACCTGATACTTGTGTTCACCTGATACTTGTGTTGGTATATGATACTTGTGTTGGCACCTGATACTTGTGTTGGCACCTGATACTTGTGTTGGCACCTGATACTTGTGTTGGCACCTGATACTTGTGTGGCACCTGATACTTGTGTGGCACCTGATACTTGTGTTATCACCTGATACTTGTGTTGGCACCTGATACTTGTGTTGGCACCTGATACTTGTGTTGGCACCTGATACTTGTGTGGCACCTGATACTTGTGTGGCACCTAATATTTATTGACACGTGATCCCTTACAACAGCGCCACTAGGTGAAGCACAGCACAAACACCTTCTTGTCATTTGATGAGTTATTATTATTTACCTCGGCAGAGATGTAGCAGTAGTGTGTGATGTATTGCAGAACAAAGTGTAGTAAGTACTGCGGTATTACACTCAGGTTCATTTAAGTTCTAAAGTTATTTTTTCTTAATGGAATATAGGAATGTATGTAAACTACCTTACTTAAGAGGACAGATTATGTGTTCGAAGTTGCTGGTGTGTGTGTGTGTGTGTGTGTGTGTGTGTGTGTGTGTGTGTGTCCAAAAATCGATATCATGGCAGGTTAAAACTCTACTCTCTCAACCACTTTAGTTTAGGGTCATTTAAGGACTTCAAAATATATTTAACTATGATTTTTTTTAGGATCAAAGACACTGTGGTCGCCCTTGTATAGACAGTACCATATATTGTTCACACTGGCGGCCATATACAGCTCCCGACTCGCCCAGTGTGGAAATTGCCAAGGCGTGTGTTTTTCGAAACTTGTGGCCATAACTTCATATAAAAAACAGTTAGTTACTATGATTTATTAAGATATACCAAAAAATCTTATGAGCTTTCATAAGAAAGTGAATTTTAAACCTGAACATTTTTAGAAAAATCTTTTCAGAAATTTCAACATGACAGATTTTGATAGATATTTTTTATTTTATTTTTAACCATAAACTTGATTTTTTAAATAAATAATAATTTTCAGGTGGAGAAATTTACAAATGATAAATTTGAATGAATGTTTGAGAATTATTAACCCGAGAAACATTATGATGAAGGTTAAAGAAACACTGAAGTTTGTTATGCTGGGAGAGAATGTTATTCTCTTTGGTTTATAATTATATATATATATATAGGTATAGGAGTAGCCCGGCTAAATGTGACGTCCTGCAGGTGTAGTATCTCGGCTGTTTCCTGGTGTGGTGTAGTTGTGGAGGTGTGGTAGTATGGTGCAGGGGTGTGATGGTGTGGTAGTATGGTGCAGGGGTGTGATGGTGTGGTAGTATGGTGCAGGGGTGTGATGGTGTGGTAGTATGGTGCAGAGGTGTGATGGTGTGGTAGTATGGTGCAGGGGTGTGATGGTGTGGTAGTATGGTGTGATGGTGTGGTGGTATGGTGCAGGGGTGTGATGGTGTGTGGTGGTATGGTTGCAGAGGTGTGATGGTGTGGTGGTATGGTGTGCAGGGTGTGATGGTGTGGTGGTATGGTGCAGGGGTGTGGTGTGTGGTGTGGTATGGTGCAGGGGGGTGTGATGGTGTGGTAGTGGTGCAGGGGTGTGATGGTGTGGTAGCGAAAGTATGGTGCAGAGGAATTGTGATGGTGTGGTAGTATGAATTGCGAGGGTGTGATGCTGTGGTAGTGTGGTGCAGGGTGTGATGGTGTGGTAGTATGGTGTAGGGGTGTGATGGTGTGGTAAAGGGGTGTGGTGTTATGGTGGAGGGCTGTGGTGGTGTGGTAGTTTTGTTATGGTGTCTTTGTGAAAAGGTGTGGTAGCGTGGTGTAGTAATGGATGAGTGTGGTGGCGTGGTAGTATGGTGGAAAGCTGTGGTGGTGTGGTGGAGGGGTGTGGTGGTATGGTGGAAGGCTGTGGTGGTGTGGTGGAACGCTGTGGTGGTTTGGTGGATGAGTGTGGTAGTATGGTGGAAGGCCGTGGTGGTGTGGTGATTTTGTGGTGGTGTCTTTGTGAAAGGGTGTGGTAACGTGATGCAGTAATGGATGAGTGTGGTAGTAGGTATAGTGATGGATGAGTGTGGTAGTGATGGATGAGTGTGGTAGTGTGGTAATAAGTGTAGTAATGGATGAGTGTGGTAGTTCTGGATGAGTGTGGTACTGAGGTGTAAGGGTAAAACAGCTGAAACGAACGCTGTACTGGACTCTTATCTCAAGTAGTCTTCGTTACTATAAACATCACACCACATCATGGCCAGTTTATCATACGTACAAGAACTTAACTCTCATTTGACATTTTTGTACACTATATTCGATACGTGTTTTAATGAGACACGTATGGGTGGCTGTTGTCAAGATGTATAGGGTATAGATAGTTTACACGTGGTATTATAATTATCTATGTGAACGACTGAAAGAAAACATGAAAAAATAGCTACCTGGAAGCGTAGTCACGTTATTTATATATGTGTGTGATTTAACATAGAGTTCCTTCCTTCCTTCCTTACTTAGCCAATTTCTTTAACCATAGATGTAAAGATGATAGTGCTGTGTGTGTGTGTGTGTGTGTGTGTGTGTGTGTGTGTGTGTGGTGGTGGAGAGTAAAACAGCTGTCCAGACTACGTGTTGATGTTTCCCTCACACGTGCCGAGTTACGTGTACTGTACCTCACACGTGCCGAGTTACGTGTACTGTACCTCACATGCCGAGGATTACGTGTCCTGTCTCCACACGTGCGAGTTACGTGTACTGTCTCACACGTGCCGGTGCGTGTACTGTCCCTCACACATGCCAGAGTTACGTGTGCTGTACCTCACGTGCCGAGTTACGTGTACTGTCCCTCACACGTGCCGAGTTGCGTGTGCTGTCCCCTCCACGTGCCGGATGCGTGCTGTCCCTCACACATGCCGAGTTACGTGTACTGTACCTCACGTGCCAGTTACGTGTTACGCTCCCTCACACATTGCCGAGTTACGTGTACTGTCCCTCACACATCCTGGTTACGTGTACTGTACCTCACACGTGCCGAGTTACGTCTTCATCTCACATGCCGAGTTACGTGTGCTGTCCCTCACACGTGCCGAGTTACGTGTGCTGTCCCTCACACATGCCGAGTGCGTGTACTGTCCCTCACGTGCCGAGTTGCGTATGCTGCCACGTGCCGAGTTACGTGTACTGTCCCTCACACGTGCCGAGTTACGTGTACTGTACCTCACACGTGCCGAGTTACGTGTACTGTCCCTCACACGTGCCGAGTTACGTGTACTGTACCTCACACGTGCCGAGTTACGTGTACTGTCCCTCACACGTGCCGAGTTACGTGTACTGTCCCTCACACGTGCCGAGTTACGTGTACTGTACCTCACACGTGCCGAGTTACGTGTACTGTACCTCACACGTGCCGAGTTACGTGTACTGTCCCTCACACGTGCCGAGTTACGTGTACTGTACCTCACACGTGCCGAGTTACGTGTACTGTCCCTCACACGTGCCGAGTTACGTGTACTGTCCCTCACACGTGCCGAGTTACGTGTACTGTACCTCACCTTTTCACTCATCAGTCTCGTAACTTTTGTGTTTATAACTGGAGCTCCAACTTAAAAACATTAATAGCGAAAAATAAAAAGGGGAAGCAACTAAATCAATCGATAAATTAATGCATAGATAGTTAAGGAAAACATAATTGAAGTTGGTGTGTTTTTCTTTTTCTTTTTCTTTTTTTCTTGGGGATAATTTGTGTTTTCCAGGATGGACCTGTGTGCCAGCCTTCACCTTAGGTCGCGTCCTGCATCACAACATACACACACACACACGGGGGGGGGTAAGGAAACCATATGGCCACATGGACTAGTTTAATCAAATGCAACATTTCTGATCCAGATATTCCAGCCCGCATGTTTTCAGAACGATGAGAAAAATATAAGTATGAATCTCATGACACGGAGGTTATTTATTTTTCATTTTTTCACTAAAATGTTGAGAGAGCATCACCAGGCCACGGGGGTGTGTCCCGGGCCAGGTGGTGCAGGCCTGCGTGTCAGCCTGAAGGACGTAGTAGCATCTCTATGGTTAACAGGGAGGCGGAGAATCACGCAGTAATCTTACAACAATCACAGAGGTTTGGCTAAGACTGGGAGGTGGTGGAGGGGCCAGGACCCGCCTCTAACCCATGTACTCTTCTTCTTGACACTGGATCAGTCGCGCCGCCTCAGTCTGTAGAGAGAAAATACAGTACGTGAGAGTGAGTGAGGCTGTGACGCATCTAGCAGGGTGGTGGGCTGTGGTGGGTCGAGGAGAGGTAAGGAGGAATACCTGTTAAGGGTGTTGAATGGAGCAGTGTATTGACCTGGTAAACTATAGGACAGGTGGAGGGACACCGTGGGGATGGAAGAACTGGTGAGGAAATACCTTATGTTCTGTGTGGGAGGCAAACGGGGGAACTGGGAGAGAGAGAGAGAGAGAGAGAGAGAGAGAGAGAGAGAGAGAGAGACCCATGTTTCATTGACCATATTGTTATTCCTTTATGAATTACTTTTTTTTTTCTTGAAGGATATATTAAACGTAAATTATTAAACATATACATAAAATTTAGACCAAAGTGGACACGTAGGAGCACCACGAGCCTGCCTAATCCAGAACCGATTATTATTATTATTATTATTATTATTATTATTATTAGTAGTAGTAGTAGTAGTAGTAGTAGTAGTAGTAGTAGTAGTAGTAGTAGTAGTAGTAGTAGTAGTAGTAGTATCCCCAAAGTAAGTAAACATCAGTTAATAGTCGTTATTGGGGGTGATAATGTTATATCTACCATATTGAACATCATTAGAGTAACCCTGAACAAAATATGTGAATCTGGTCTGGCCGAAAGTGGAATACCGACATATTTTGGTGATATGATTTTGTCTATGAATAGATAAATATGCTTTAAGTCAGCCGTCTTCTGCCAGCGACCTGTATTTAGTAGAGATTAAGTCTTGGTTAATAATTGTAATGGGTTGGTCTCGTGACGGTCGTGTTCATTCGAAGAAGAAAAAATCCCGTGTGTGTGACGGGCGATGACGTGTGTGAGTGACGTGAGTGAGTGACATGAGTGAGTGACGTGTGTGAGTGACGTGAGCTTTGTTGATCTCGTCTCAGGGGAGTAGGTCACCCTCCTAGCACACAGGAGATAAATGATCCTTTCTCTCAGTCTTTACCTTCTCCACTTCTCTGGATTCTTGAGAGATTCTTAAAGTTTGACCTTAAATAAAGAGACCATAATCCCTCAGAACCCAAGATAGCGTCGACATAGCAGGCCGCCTGACGGTCCATTAGTAACAGGGCGACTACAGCACCGAGCCTTAGCTACACCAGAAGGTGCTTAAGGCTTAAATAGTGAAAAAGCGAATCTAATAGAAATTAAAATTGGTGATAGAAATGTGTGGAGTAACAACAGAGCCCTTCTGGCAGGTCTGTCTGCCCTGATAATCCTGACTCTTCTTGACAAGTCTCATTTAAATGTGTTTATTCTAAACTAACACTGATGAAGAGAAGGTGAACTTGACAGTGACTGGCACTGTCACAACTGCCTGAAATATGTCCCAAACAACTGTCATTGACCACAGTATACCACAGACTGACCCTGATGAGCCTGTAGATGTGCATGACGGCGGAGACGGGGATGGTGCCGCAGCTATCGCCGGCGTTGGCGCCTGATGCTGCGGTGAGAACGGCTGGTGGCGCGGGGTGAAGGGAGGCGGCGGCTGGGTCTGTGCCGCTGGCGGCCGCCGCACGCTTGCCCCAGCCAGGGGAGAAGTTGAGTTGGGCTGACACGCACGAGGCGAACACCACAACCACCAACATGAGGGCACAGCCGGCACGGACCTGGGGGAGGGAGAACCCAGTTAGTGATACAACATACTGTACTGTACACCAACTCCCTGTAAACAAAGTAACAACATGTACAGGGTTATAATATACACTAGTGCGTGTGTCAGAGGAAGATCATCTCTAATACCCTGCTAATGCCCAAGTCAAATTGGTAACTTTGGCTTGTGTAGAAATACTACAGCACCTAAAGAGGATCACTGTAGAAGTTAACTAATAATAATTTTCATAGGTTATGCTCACATAAATCAACTTATTGTAAGTCATCGTTTCCAATCCAACACTGTCCATATACAGTATCAATGTGAACATGTATGGTTGTGCAGTGCTGTATGACAACCACCTCTGAACCCTACCCTGTCGTTAATAATACCTAGTGTTTACCTCTTACTTCTCTTCATATATAAGGTGAAACGTGCGTGGGGCTTGTATAGGTCTTCAGACTGTATGTGGTGTGAGTACCTCCATGTTGCCTACTGTATGTGGTGTGAGTACTTCCATGTTGCCTCGACCTTCTACAGGCGTACGAGACGTCACTGTGTTCGTCATTAAGAATTTATCGTCGGTGTCTTCTAGGCTGTCACAGTTTAGTTATGGAAGCAACAACTTGGCAGGTTTTCCTCCGTCATGTCTCGTGTCGGCGGACGTATGTTTATATAAACACTGGTTACGTGGCGTCACTGCCAGGGGACTATTACGTATGGCTCCTCTTGTTCATTAGTCAAGTAGCACCATTAAGTCGACCAAGCTTGAATTCTGTTCTTTAGACATATTACTTTTTACTTTAAATATTATTACTGTAGCCTTTTGACATCTATCCCAAAACGCAAGGGGGAAACGTAATAATAATAATTAAAATAATGCTGATCACAAGGGGTAAACATAATAAAGTGTGACACTCTAATATATTAAAGACGTCCCCCATCCCGTGGGACGAGAAGTTTATAGTTCAGTTTTCTATGATGTATGTTTCGTAAGGTGGTGGTGGGTCCCGCCCTCACCACTACACACGACCACACAATACCAAGTCTCCTGGTTAGAGTTCATTTAGGAATAAGAAGGCTAGTCTTTGTCGAGGATGTAGAGACATACAGCTCCCTGGAAGTAGAGAGTAGAGCTTTTATTCAGTCTCAAGGAACCCTCACTAGCTGAGTTACGGGTCACTCAACTGTTCCCACAAGGTGACGATGATGATGTTGAATAGCATAGCATAGTCGGTGTTGTTTTTTTAGTAGAGTCGTAATTTAGCTTGGAGTGACATATACCTTAACCCTGTACGTGTATGTAAACAAAGTTCGTGTTGTCTTGAGCTACAAGTTTAAAGGAGCTCTGTTGAGATGCTGAAGTTTCCTCACCTAACCTCACCGTCCTTCACCATGTTAGGTTAAGTGAAGTCGATTTAAGAATTATTTAGGTTAGGTTAGGTTAGGTTAGGTTAGGTTAGGTTAGGTTAGGTTATGATAAGTTCGGATTAGGTTAGTTTAGTTGTGAGTTAGTTGGGACCAAGATTAAGTTAGGTTCCTCTGGGTTATGGTAGATTAAGGCTCTGCTCGGTTTAAGTTAGATTTGTATGGACGAAGTTAGGTTAGTGTAAGGTTACTTTAGTTTAAATCAGGTCAAGTTAGGTTAGGTTGGGTGAAGTTAGATCAGATTGAAATGTTAGTTATGTTTAGTTAGTGCTAGTTTAGGATGGCGCTAAGTTAAGTCAGGTTAAGTTACTGTAGGTTAGTTTAGGTTATGTTAGGTTAGGTATATTAAAGTTAGGCTATTATACTGTGATTTTGTTTTTGTTTACCATAGAATTTGTAAGATAGTAATAACCAAAAGCTACTGACTCGAACATCTAGAAGCTCCTCCCCACGCTGGCCTCCCCCTTCCCTCCCTCTTCTGTCCCCCCCCCCTCTGCCTACCCCTTCTCTCCCCCTCTCCCTACCCCTTCCCCCCCTCTCCCTACCCCTCTCCTCTCCCCCCTTCCTAGTCGCCATCTTTGAAGCCAACACAACGATGTTCTCTGGTGTTGCGCTCACAACTCACTTGGTTCAGCCTTGTTGCTTCTTATTAACCTGGAGTTAAGGTGGTAACAAGTAGAACCAAAGAGAAGGGCCGCCAATCAATTATATTACGACATGTCGCCATTAGCAGGAAGTTACAGAGGGAGTCAAAGTCCTCCCCCACCACCAAGCCTCTGAGAGCAGGGTGGTGTGAAGGAGGGTCACCTGTAGTAGCTTAAGACCCCCAAGCCCGAGACACTTTGTAGCCCTGGGACACAGTAGCCCCGTGTCACTGTGTCCTCCGTAAACTTTGTAGCCTCATTACACAGTTTGTAGCCCTGTGGTATTATAGTCCCGTGAAGTGCTAGCCCCAAGATATATTCAATTTTTTTGACACGCTGTATTGTACATTACCGGGACACTTAATTGTAATTTTTGTTTTAATACACAAATGTTGCAACACCTACACTCGTCACGGTTCTCTAATGAATCATCACCAAGTACTTTACCATAATGTTTGGTCAGCTGAGAATCATTCATGTTTAGTGTGTTGACAATAAGTTCACCACTCGGACTGACAGCAGATGGGCTGACTGAGTGTGTTTGATGAGCCCTTTAAACACAGGGGCTGGGCTGAAATGAGAGTTGGGAGATGGTGATTTTAATGACTTTCTCACAGTGCGGCAGATCACCTGACAGTAGACACCAGAATCTCTTCAAATTTCACCACAACCGTACAGTAGGGCCTGTTTAAGAGACCACGTTAACAGTGTGGTGATGTAATGGTCCTTGTATCACCACCACAACACCATTGATCAGTAGTTAGGTCACAATGTTAAGAGCAAACAAAGACGCAACAACATAAGGGACGGTAAACACGCGGGAGGCTCCTGTAGACAACAGAGAAGAATCTGATTAAAAGTTAAGACCATGAAATTCATTCCAGGTAAAAAAATGAAAAAGATCATAATAAAGTTTTAATGAATTCGGAGATGGCCGACTAGCCTAGTTGTGACCTCCTCCCCACCCACACACACAGACCTGTTGTAACCTCCTCCCCACCCACACACACAGACCTGTTGTGACCTCCTCCCCACCCACACACACACAGACCACACACACACATCCTTCACCCCTCCCCACACACACACACACACACACAGACTCATAGACCTCCTCCCCACCCACACACACAGACCTGTTGTGACCTCCTCCCCACACACACACACACAGACCTCTTGGACCTCTCCCCACCCACACACACACAGACACCTCCTCCCCACACACACACACACAGACCTGTTGTGACCTCCTCCCCACCCACACCAGACACCTCCTCCCCACCCACACACACAGACCTGTCCTCCTCCCCACCCACACACACACAGACCTCAACCTCCCCCCCACCCACACACACAGACACACCCACACACACAGACCTGTTGTCCTCCTCCCCACCCCACACACACACAGACCTGTTGCACCTCCTCCCACCCACACACACACAGACCTTTGTGACCTCCTCCCACCCACACACACAGACCTGTTGTGACCTCCTCCCCACCCCACACACACAGACCTGCCCTCACCCCACCCACACACACACAGACCTGTTGTGCCCTCCCCACCCACACACACACACACAGACCTGTTGTGACCTCCTCCCCACCCACACACACAGACCTGTTGACCTCTCACCCCACACACACACACAGACCTGTTTGACCTCCTCCCCACCCACACACACACAGACCTCTGTCCACCCCCCCACACACACACACACAGACCTGTTTGACCTCCTCCCCACCCACACACACACACACCACCTCCTCCCCACCCACACACACACACAGACCTGTTGCACCTCCTCCCCACCCCACACACACACACAGACCTGTTGTAACCTCCTCCCCACCCACACACACAGACCTGTTGTGACCTCCCCCCCACCCACACACAGACCTGTTGTGACCTCCTCCCCACACACACACACACACACAGACCTGTTGGAACCCTCCCCCACCCACACACACACAGACCTGTTGTACCTCCTCCCACCCACACACAGACCTGTGACCTCCTCCCCACCCACACACACAGACCTGTTGTGACCTCCCAACCTCCTCCCACCACACACACAGACCTGTTGTAACCTCCTCCCCACCACACACACAGACCTGTTGTGACCTCCCCCCACCCCACACACAGACCTGTTGTAACCTCCTCCCCCCCACACACACAGACCTGTTGTGACCTCCCCACCCACACACACAGACCTGTGCCAGACCTGACCTCCTCCCCACCCACACAGACCTGTGCCAGACCTGCCCCCCCACCCACACACAGACACACCCAGCAGACCTGTTGTGACCTCCTCCCCACCCACACACACACAGACCTGTGTACCTCCCCCCCCACACACAGACCTCCTCCCCACAGACCTGTTGTACCTCCTCCCACCCACACACACAGACCTGTTGACCTCCTCCCACCCACACACACACAGACACACAGACCTGAGCCTCCTCCCACCCACACACACACACCTGTTGCAGACCTCCCCACCCACACACACACACCTCCACCCACACACACAGACCTGTTGTTTTCCTCCCCACCCACACACACAGACCTGTTGTAACCCCTCCCCCACCCCACACACACACAGACCTGTTGTGACCTCCTCCCCACCCACACACACTGTGTGACCTCCTCCCCACCCACACACACACAGACCTGTTGTGACCTCCTCCCCACCCACACACACAGACTGTTGTGACTCTCCCCACCCACACACACAGACACCTTGTTGTTGGACCTCCCTCCCCACCCACACCCACAGACCTGTTGTGAACCTCCTCCCCACCCACACACACAGACCTGTTGTGACCTCCTCCCCACCCACACCCACAGACCTGTTGTGACCTCCCCACCCACACACACAGACCTGTTGTCCCGTTCTTGTATGAAACTATTGATTATTCTTGTTAGCTATCACCTAAACTA